ATATATATATATATATATATATATATATATATATATATATACAAATATGTACATATTTGTATATATACACCTATCAGGGTTTGCTGTTAAGTCAGTGAGTCAAATCAGCTGGTTTTCCTTAGATAGAAAACGTTGAACCAGACTGTATGATAATGGGGTTATATTTCTTTCTTTTAAGAAACAAAAAAATGACATTTAGACTGAGCAAGTAAGCGAGATTACATTAGATATAAAAATAATAAGGATGTGAAATATATAGACATATACATATACTCCAGATTTTTATTGAATCTGTGGAACTTGAATTTAATGAGTATTAAAATAACTTTTGGTTAAGTTTCATCATGCCATACCATCTAAATTTTGAAAATTTTAACTACTTCCCTTTTTTTCTCTTTGTATTACTACTGGGGATTTTCCTTGTTTTGCTAAATGTTAAATCTGACAAACTTACACAAGGTTCATTCTGCTTAAAAGAAAGAAAAAAACTGAAAACATTTTCACTTATAAAGCTTTAGGAAACTTAAATCTCAAAGACTCTGATGAGCTTCACCTGAACCATCTGCGATGTCCCTTGTTCAGCTCCAACAAATCAACTGGAAGGCCGTTTCTTCACTAAAGCCAATCATCTTTCAAGATCCCCTTCATTTATCTTCTGACCAGACGTCCCTCCAGCACACAAGAAAACTTTCACCCACCTCCCATCCGTCTCCTTCCTCACTCTCAGACCATTGTTAGTCCCACTCTTACTCTGGCTTATTCCACCACCAGTGTCCGGGCCCTGGGGCAACACTAATCTAATCCTTGGGTATAGGTTGCTCATCCAGGCGAATGTTGATATACAGAATTGAAAATTTTGCCAAGGTTCGAGCACCAAAGAGTTTATTTCATTTATGTTTTATCTGCTTCCATCTCATTGAACCCTAATCAGCCTTGGCAGATGGCCACTCACATTGAGCCCGGTTCTGCTGGATTTTTCTTCATGCTAAAAGGAAGTTTTTCTCTCCACTGTCACTGCATGCATGCTCAATGCAAGGGATTGCAGAGAGTCAATGAGTCTTTGCAATCAGCTGGTTTTCCTAAGATAGAAATATTTTAACTGATGCTTGATGCTTGGATAAGTTGATTACTTTGTAATTGTAGCTTTTCTATTCTATTTTATTTTCTATTCTATTCTACTCCTCATAAAAATATAGTCATTGAAAATGAAAAATGCAGTTAAATGTATTTTTAATTTAAATGTACAATAGTTTTATAGTAAGATTTTTTTTCTGTGTGAGCATAAAGTTGCCCTAATAGATCCCACCTTTAATATTCAGACCTTTTGCTCCTCCATTGCTCCTCACAATATACAGTATGTATTTTTGGAGAGTTTCATGAGAATTTAAGAGGACAAAGTGCTCCAACAAAAACAACACCGACAGCAGTAATCGTAGAGAGGCGGTGTCTCACGTTCTTCACTTCGACTGTTAAACAAAAGCGAGAATATCACTTCATTTCGTTCCAACATCTTGCACAGAAAAGGAGCTGGAGGCGACTGCCAGGACGTTATTCATGTCTTTCAGTTCATTTGGCTCAACTGGTCAGCTTTCCAGACAGAATCTTTTTCTTCATTCTCTCGTGTTTTTACACCCTCTTCTCTTTTTTTCCTGTTTTTTGTTTCCTTTCTTTTTTCATTCTGGAGGAAGATTAGTAGGATTAAGTATGGCTCACATATGCTCCACTCACTTGTGGTGCTAACCACTGCTCTGGGCTCACCGCCACACAGACTGATGGACAGGGAGGCAAGACGGACATGGTAACTGTGAGAAAAGAGTCAAAGGTGCAGGGAAATGGGAAATGAAAATAAATGTTGAGTTCAAAATGTTTTCTTCTGTTCACTTTTAAGGCAAGCTTAAATCAAAACTAAACAGGAATTCAAAATCTAAGGCATAGGAAAGGGTTCTCCTCTGTTTCTGAATTTTTTTGACGACCCAGGTCACTAAATAAATGTTTATATGAAGAAAAAATGTCAGCAGGTGCCAGAAGGTTTCTAAGGTGATAAGAGAACAAAGTTGTCACTTTGAGGCCAGCGGGGGGCTCCAAAATACTCTTTTCTCACAGAAAACAAAGGACAAACTTTCAAATTTGCTCTTATGTTTTAAAAGTTGAAGCTGCTTTAAATATACTTCAGAGATTTAATAGCAGCCTTAATTTATATATGGCTTATAAATGTCCTCTAAACAACTAAAATATGCATATAAGCTACTTTTTGTATTTGTTAGTAGAATCCCATTTTATGTGTAATTTTACTACAACTTCATATGTTTTCATTTTCTTGTCATCCATGTAAGCAGCTAAATTTGCTTCCCCCACCCGACTCTGCAGCGCTCTACTTCACTCTTGATTGCATAATCAAATAAGTTCTGAGAAAGAAAACTGTCTTCACCTTATTTTCACTAATATTTAATATATGTGGGAAGTAGTAATCTAAGTAATTCAATTCAGTTTATTCATATAGCGCCGATTCAAAACACACGTCATCTCAAGGCACTTTACAGTTCACAAGATCATACAGTCAAATTGATTCAAAGTTTTCTATCTAAGGAAAACCAGTTGATTGCATCGACTCATTGACTCGAAGGCAATCCCTCACACTAAGCGCAGTATATTCTCATTATCAGTTTGTATGAAATCGTACGAAAAGTTATGCACCGTAATTTCGTACGTTTTTGACGTTTTTATCGTGGTATTTCGTCGTATTTTTAGGTCTTGCCTCGAGACAAGATATCCTTGCGCATGCGCATCTTACGCACCACTCAATAACATAGAATTTAGCATACAATTGACCCTAACCCTAAGATACAAAACAGCAAGCAACCTAGTTAGAGACATGAAGAAGTAATTATTGCACTGTTTTTCCCAGTTTTACGTCCGTCCGCGGATCTGCTTTTGGATGAAGAGAGCACATCCAGCCAGTCACAGTCACAGAAACAGGACTACAGTAGAAAAACAGGCCGATCTCCAGCATCTATAAACAAAGGTGTGAATGGCAGCAGCACAGCTGATATTTCTCTCTGGGATGGAGTCAGAGCCAAACAGGAACAGACGAGCCGTAGCTACTATGAGAAAAAGCAGAGAAAGCTTAACGTTAGACATTGAACCAACAGATTCTGCTGGTGGGAGAATAGAGATAGAATGAAGCAGAATGATAAAATAGGGGTCTGTAATCCAAAAAGAAAGAAGAAAAACAGTTTAAGACAGATTGAATTCATTAATACCAATTGTCATTGGCAGATGGGCACAATATAGAAACTTTTTTTAGATGACCTGAAAATTATAAATAAACTTTACTTATTTTCTACTAACTGACTCGACATGGATTACCTCTCTTCCAATGAGGATGATGAAATATTTAACTAAATAGATTAACTTTTGCAATACTTAAAAAAAGTTATTTTTTTTTATTTATTTTCGCCTAATAAAAATTAGAATGTTTGCTATTTATTTCTTTGATTTAATTTAATTAGGTAACTGCTTATATCGCCACCTATTGACCAGCCATAGCTACTATGCACTAAGCATTTTTTTTTTATTTAATTTATTTATTTTTTTATGGAAAGACATGAAGACCTTCATGAAGATATGCAAACCAGTCTATAATGAACTCTGCAGGAGTAACACAAACCTGTGTCAATAGGGCTTTAAATCTGGCTGTGGAAACATCCTGCTGGAGTCAGAGCTGTTAGTTTAATTTTCATTCAGCTTCTTTTTATTTAACAAGCTACACAGTCTTCTTTGCAGTCTAACATGGATGGATCTCTAAATAACTGAAATACTAATATTTTGCACTAAGATGTCAATGACTGTAGGGTTGTCTTTGTAAAGGGAAACAGTCCCTGCTGCTTTCCACTGCTATACAGATGAATAAATAAATAAATGAATGGATGAATAAATAAATAAATAAATAAAATGTAAAAAAAAAAAAAAAAAAAAGAAAGAAAAAGGAAACATTTGAGGTCTGAACGGGTGAAGGGTATAATTTTCAAGCTTTAGGCTTCCATGTTTCTCCATGCATAGGCCTCTGATAGAATCCGAACTATTATGAAAACACATAAACTTGTCGAGGTAATTAGTGATAATTGCGTCCGACCGCACAATACTTGTCGCATTTCCAGAACAATGCTGCTGTCAGTGTTAGTTAGTGTGTCTTGAGAGCAAAGCACCGTCCGGGGCCCTTCTGTCAGTCAGGGCCAGGCTGAGCGCCAGCCGCGGCAGCGGGCCACACACTGCTGTCGCTCAAAGAGCCCTAATTGAAATCTTACGGATCATAACGGTTAAAGACAGTTTTGCACACTTCATTAATTAACGTTTAGAGATGCTCCTCAGCTGCAGCTGCCGGCCTCGACAGCAGGTAAAAAAAAAAAAAAAAAAAAAAAAAAAAAAAAAAAAAAAAAACACGTTTTGATGTTTATTACGCTTTGAGCGATGAATAAAAAAAAAATAATAAAAAAATGTATAAAACAAACTATTTTAGTCAATAAAGGCCAAAATAACAAACTTTTCAATATAAGGATTATGATTTATTACAGATTGAAATAAATATTTAATTTCTGTTAATTAGGGAGAGTTTATTCTAATATCTATTTATTGTATTATTATTCTTTGTCCACAAATGCGTACTCAAATAAAATAATTTAGCTACTTTAGCAATTTTTATCATTTTATAAAGCGATTAAGTACTTCCATAAAAAAAATAGTGATTATCTAATTGGGTTTTATTCGAAGAGTTTTTAATCAATAAAACATATTAACAGCAGCGGGCCATGTTGGCAGGAGTGTGTCAGATTTCACTTAATACCGGCTCTGTGTTGGTAATTACATCAGGCTCCTCACCCCCTCCTCCCCCGCTTCTAATAACCCGCCTCCCTTCTCGGCTCTGATTGGTCAGCGGGAGGCCGCCGGGACAGAAGCTGCGTTGCCCCGGTGACCCGGCCTCTGCTCGCCCCATCCCTGCTATAAAAGCCAGCTGCAGCTCGCATGCGCGCCTGATAGGCTGTCAGAAGCGATTTGGAGTAACAGGTGGATCTAACTGCAAATACTCACCATCATTGCGCTTGGATAAACTTGGTAGGTGTTTTTATTTATTTGGGTTGTAATCATTTATTTTTATGGCTGAGTTGAAGGCCGTTTTAATGTATTAATTGGTGTAATTCCATTGAAAAACCATTATTTTTAATTATATAAACACAAATGAGGGCCTAATGAGCAACACGATGATTAAAGTAATTAAAAACGTCTTTGTTTTTTTTTTTATACAAACTATAATATTTATTTATTTGATTGAATTTAGGGATACAGTTTTGAGTCCATTAAGTGAAAAGTTTCTGTATTCGCAGAGCATCGTGTAGGATCTGCACCATGGATTCAGACACAAGCAGAGTCTCAAGCAGACCGTCATCGCCAGAGGTGGACGACATCTTCATGGCCACCCTGAAGAAATCCGTCCACGGCTTCTCTGGCGCCGTGTCCTCCACCCAGAGCGACTCTCCGTCAGAGATCCCGGGTCTGCGCGGCCTCTCCGCGGCCGACGAAGAGGCGCTGGCGCTGCGCATGGCCTCCAAGAAGGACCGCAAACTGCTGTCGGAAAACGAGCTCCAGGCCATCCGCTTGAAGATCAACAGCCGCGAGAGGAAACGGATGCATGACCTGAACGTGGCCATGGACGGGCTGCGGGAGGTCATGCCCTACGCGCACGGACCGTCGGTGCGTAAGCTCTCCAAAATCGCCACCCTGCTGCTGGCGAGAAACTACATCCTGATGCTCAGCAATTCCCTGGAGGAGATGAAGCGTCTAGTGAGCGAAATCTACGGCAGCACTGGGCACCACGGAGGCTTCCACCCGTCGGCTTGTGGGACTATGACGCACGCCGGGGCCTTGCCGGGACACCCGGCGGCTTCCCACGCCTCCCACCCGGCAGTGCACCACCCGCTCCTCCCTCCTCCTGCCGTCTCCACCGCCTCCCTTTCTGCTCCCGGGATTTCGGCCGTCACATCGGTCAGACCCCACCATGGACTCCTCAAAGCGCCCGCGGCAGGTGCAGCCCCCCTGGGCAGCAGCTTCCAGCACTGGGGCGTCGGCACCGGGATGCCCTGTCCGTGCAGCATGTGCCAAGTCCCGCCTCCGCATGTGTCCAGCATGAGCTCCGTAACCATGCCGAGGCTGGCGAGCGACTCCAAATGACTCTGAACTCAGCTGAACTTTTTACAGACTCACATTTTTTTATTTATCCCAATCGCTCAGACCGATGCGTAATAGAGAGCTCGTACCAACCTCCTCTGGATTTGCAAATTTTGCAACTAACTTAGTATTTGACTGTAGTTAATCTCAAATGTGACGGATATTTATGCACAGAGCTTCTAAAGCGCAACAATATCTTAGGGCCCAGAATTAATTTTCCTGATCTCAAATGAAAGCAACAAGTTGCAGTTTGTAACTGTAAATATGTAGATGGATTATTGTCTTTAAATAGTTTCAGATGTTATATATTAGAGTCTCGTTACTGTGGTTCCCCTGTCTGTTAATTCCATGTTGCATCTGCTTCATACATTTTATCCGTCTTTGTTCTTCTCTCCCCAGTGCCCGACTCAAGCAGTGACAACTTGTTTATTTTTTTAAATGTAAAAAATAAATAAATAAAGGAAAAATGATATTTATTTACTTATTTGGGTGAAAATGTCGTAAAAAATCCCTTGTTGTTTTGGGGTTTTTATAATGTAAAACAATAAAGACAATAAAAACATGTGAATAATGTTGTTGGTAAATTTCCTTTAATTAAAATTTTTTACTTTGATTTTACATATCATATAAAGAGGATCTGAATCAGTTAATTAAAGTAAAGTTAAAATACACAAAAGTGTAATATTCCTTTGGTTTTTAGAGACAAATGAAATATAAAAAAATAAATAGAAACGTTAATTATAAATACAAAAAAAATAAAAATAATGAAAATACATATTATTGTTTCTGTAATCAATAGAATAATGATGGAAATTATATTTGCAAATTTGAGTGACAATTTTACTAAACAATTAAAGAAAATTATTTCTCTCTCTCTCAATATATATAGAGGCAACTATTCATACAATATAATAATATTCAACAAGCCTATATATAGGCAAGTATTCATATAATATAATAATGTTTAACAATTGGAGATATATTGTATTCATTAATTAGTATTTACAGGTTTTTGTACTGAATTTAAACTCCTTAGTCATTAGTCTAAGCCAGGATTCTTAGGTCCAGATCCTTATCAAACCTAATTTTTTAGAACTTTTGAAGTTTGACAATTGAACATGTCAGCATAGGGGGAAAAAAATAGCTCATCTGTTATAAAGGTTTCACTAAACCCTTAAAAAACAAACAAAAAAAAAAAAACTACAAGAAAAGAACTACAAAAAACTGTTTCTATTCAGCAGCAGCGCCCAGAATCTACCTCTTTACAAATTATAAAACCCCCGAAAGCCTCTATTGGCAGAGAGGCCAGTAATAAGCAAAGGCCGTTAGACTTTAGGAAAATCAAGCAGCTGCAGAGCAGATTGTGCATGCTGTAGCAATATTTTCCAAAAGCTTTTGAAGCTGGAACGATAAGATCTAAATTCCTGAATATTCATGCATTGATTTGTTTATTCGTCTCATTACTGTAATTGAATTATTCAAAGTCCTTCATTTTTTTGTAGGACGTTTGCGAGAGGGAGAGGCCATTTTGGTGTGGTGCAACACACACACTCTTTACCTGAAAAACCTGTATGAATTCCTTAATTTTGAAAGTTAAGAAAATAAATATTTTTCTTTTATGTAAATAATTTCAATTGATTAAATCCAATTGATAGTTGATGACAAAAAGCTTAATTTATTAACCTAATCTGCAGCCATTTACTCAATAACTCAATAGAAACAACCAGCTCTCTTAAAAATATCTATAATAGCTTTGATTCTGCAACAATCTCGGTGTGCCAGCAGGAAATGTAGCTAAAAGGGAGGCAGATGGATATTTGAGTATTTATTGTGTTTGTTCTACAGAATTAACAATATTCTTTTATGTTTTAACTCTTCGTCTACTTTTGGTAAAATGCTTCCATTTTCAAACAAAATACTGACTTAAATGATAACATAAAGAAAACGATCATATATATCTGATAACACATTTTTTGGAGACCTTTTTTTCCTCTTTGTCATCACAGTAAATGTTATGGATGCAAAGCAGCAGCAGTGCTGAGTTGGGCAGAAACTTAAAGTGCAGTCGAAAAAGATCCCAGAAAGTAAAGAGGACCGTCTTTGAAACTGCTGCTACACTGCTGCTGTGCGGACTAACTGGTAGCAGAATTAACTCTGTGGCCATGATTCTGCAAACAATCGAGGTTTTGTTTTTTTCTATTATACGGCATACCCATATTATTTTAGAATATAAAATCAACAGTATGTCCAATACGTCTGTGTACATTTTTAATGTAAAGAAACAAAAGAAAAAAAAGAGGTTATGATAGTGCAGACACTGATTGCATATTTGGTGGCAGCTGGCTTTAGCAAAAATGTTTTTTTTTTTTTAGCTCTGACAAAAGAAAAGTCTGAACAGTTTCTGACCTGAATGTTTAGGATCTACAGAGATGTTAGCTGTCCTTTTCCAGACCCTGGACCTGTATGTGGGCTTTATTGAGGGAAGGCCAGTACCTGCAGACCCCTCAGCAGATATAAGATGGGTCAAAATGGTGGTTTGGACCTTCAGTATCCTGGATGAGCCAACATAGGGAAGACTAAGTAATGGTTATAGAGGAGGATCAACGGCTCCTGTGGACAGTTGTTCTTCTTGAGTTGCCACAGGAAGTACTGTCTCTGCTTGGCCTCCTTCTCAAGACTTTCTATATGCAAAACCCAACTTTTTCCATAGAACTGGTGAAACAGAAGTGATTTACAACAAAATCTGTGTTGTTGAGGATATTGAGGGGTGGTAGTATGTGTTAGTTTAGGGGTCTTCCATCGTCTCCACTCTCTTGATTGATTTTAGCTGCAGGTAGTTCTGACCACATGATTGGACCAGCTGGTCCAGGATGCCAGTGGTTCTCTGACAGGTAAATTTGAATGCTTTAACTATATCCACCCTTAGAAATTATGCATTTTACAGAAATGTAAAAGTCTGACTTATTCATTTGCAAATTATATTCCATATATTTTTAAATAATGTTGAATAGATTCATGAAATGGTTCACAGATTGTGAAACCATACCATGTATGGCACTAAAGACCGATAATTCTTCCTAAACTCTTTCTAATAAATCTTTAGTTGCTGTTTTGGATCTTAGTAAGCCAGTGATGCCTATCTAAATGCATCAATTTTTTCTCTCTGCTTAGTTCATCACAGAGTGTGTAATATATATTGTATAAAACTACTGTTTCCAGACAAAAAGCCCTCATTCAGTGTTTTCAATCTGTCTTTCCATGAAAGCCTGAACAATGTGGTTTAGAAAAGAATTACTACCCACGGGCCTAACCCTAAATTGCCATGTAATGTGATTTGGAAAATGCTCCCAACTTCTCTGCTTGTTGGTACATAGGGACCTTTCTACATAACTGATGCAGGAAGAGACTCTCAGCTGGGTTTTGTAAAACTGACGGACTGAAAAGACTAAGCGGCAATCAGCACGACTGAAGAAGCTTGGTCTTATTGAATACATCAAGCATGTTTTAATGAGTTAAAGTCTATACTGTGGTCTAAATTACTGTATTATTACTCTGGCTGTATGTTTAGTTTTGTTATCCATCAGGAAAATAAATCTCAGCTCCTATATTTCCTCTATGGCTGGCCTTTCTTCCAAGCATCCTCAAACCCAGATGTTGCCACCACCCTGGTTAAGTTTGCCCATGATTTGTTCTGGGTAATATTTAGTGTTTGTTTCCCATCATAAATCAAACCTGATCTAGAAAAACATCATCAAACATAAAAGAAAAACAACAAAGAGCAGTAAAATTGCTTGTGTAAACAAAAGAATTGCACATAGAATTAGTTATGCAGGTAATCTACGATGGTTACATGAAGAATTGAAAGAAATGTGTGAAAGTGATGTGGAGAACCTTATTTAAAAGACAGACTTGCACATGCTACTGGTTGTCACCATGGAGAGTTTGAAAGAGCAAGTTCTGTGCACAGGAGAATATCTGTTTAGTTTTTAAATGATTTTTTATTAAACACAATATAATGAGGTTCATAAATATAATTTTATTTTCTCCTTCCATCGACCATCATCCTTAAAGAATAACTTTGAAAAACAAAAAGAGGAGCAGAAGCAGCAGCTGCAGATTAAACATTTTCAGCACCACAGCTGTGTGAACAGCGACCAGGAGATAGCGCCAAACAGAGGTGGAGCTATTTAGTTCTCAATATGAAATATATTTTACACTGATCAACTCAGAGAAATATTAACTCTGTGGTAAAGGAGCAGCTTCATATTTCTTATCACTGTAGTTTGTTACTAAAATGGATGTTTTTGTTTCAAAGAAACAAAAACAAAACAAAACAAAAACTCTTTTTCCAAGGTATTTTCTAACCTGATATGATTATTTTGATAAAAAAATATGACTCAACCAGGGCAGGATGTTGTGATAAACCCACCACCCCTCTAAAGTGAATACGGTACGGCTGGATAGGAGACCAAAAAAACTATTGGGTCAACAATTCTCCATCTAGATGCAAAAAAATGCAGCGTTGCAAAATCTAAATTTCAATGCCTCAAAATGCTTTCTGTGTTGTAAATAAAAATCATGATTTCTTAGCTAAAGAGTCAAGATTTTTGAAGTTCAAAGCTATTATTTGTGCATAAAATGTTCATCCACCCCATCGATCTGCAGCCTCACTCTACTTATTTGCCTATCATTTTAGACGAGCAGCCATGTTTTGGCAGGTTTGCAGCTTTGCCTTTTCGTTGTTAGATGATGGATAATGATTCACGAGGTGTCCATATCCTGGAGTATTATCTTTCAAACTTTAAAACCTCCCCACAACTTTATCCCTGATCTGGCTGCTGTGTACCTTTTTCTTCATGATGCTGTATTCAGAAAGCATCTAGACAAACATGCTGCCAAAGTTAAAAAGAAAATCTGACTGAGAGGCATCTTTTCAGCTCTGCCTGAACGCTATGGCTGATAACAGCCGGGCTTCCTAACCCTGGGACTGGATTTGAATAAACAGCTCCTGAGACACTGCTGGTGGCAGGCTGAATCCCCCGCCACCGCAGAGAGTGGAAGGCTGAATCTGTTACGCTTTAAATATTCATATCTTTGGGCAGACGGGGAGCCATCGGCCTTACACTGTTGTAACTGGATTTAAACACTGCACAGATGTACACCCTTTCAGCTCCGCGCATCATGTTGTGTTAGCTGAAGGGATTAAACGGTGGTGGAATGCATCAAAGTTGGGCGGAACAACAGAAAGAGAAACTGAGTCCATGATAGAGAAAAGGGGGGATAAGAGAGAGAAGATAAACAAACAGATAAGCTGTCAGAGACAAAGGCAGGATTTAACTCTTACATGGGAATAGATGGAGCTCCGAGGTGAATATGAGACCTTGGAGGTCGCTCTTTCCCATAGGAATGATGTTTACTAAACTGCTCCTTCTACTAACTCTGCCTCAGCATCTACACACTGATCAACTGT